ATTGAGTGTTGAATTTATACATTTCCTTCTTACTTCGAAATGCATTTAACGAAGAATTTATTCTTCGATTAGATGCTGTTTTAGATAGATAACTTTTACATTTAATTGAATTGCAAACAGTTTCCATTTTACTGCATGCTCCCGACTTTACTCATCTAACAACAATGAAAATATGCAATGGGTTTTTGTCGTGTAATGCGTACAATCCGCTTGTATATTTCTTTGACGCTGTTCGCATGTCTTCGACATTGAACAGAGATGCTCACATTCTTCAACTGAATCGCTTTCATTGTCTACGCCACAAATCTACGCACATACGGTCACATATAATACGAAAAATACACACCAACCCGGATCCATATTCCAGAATGCGAAGAGGGAAAATATTTGTCCATGTGAAAAGTTGAAACATAATGCAACTATGAAAATGAATTTTCTTGTATATCTTTGCATCAACCAATAAAACTTTTGATTTAGGCTTAATGGAATTTTCCTGGATGTTCCCCCGCTCAACTTCCAACCGTTTCATTTCATTTTCAGTTTGTACAATTCGGTTGCACACGGAAAACTTTTTGCAGACATTTCTGAAAACAACAACACCAACAATGAGCCGAACACAATGGCATTAAAAACTATTGCTTTCTTTTTAAATTAAATTTAATAGTTGAGAGTGCGCTGTTGTAAATGAAAATTTTAATAAATCCCCGCTCACTCGATGACAATGACAACGACAACGAAGATGAATGCTGATGATGATGCGATCAACTTCATTCAATCATAAATTGCTTACAATTTTCACATGAAATTAACACATTTTGTTTAATCAAGTTAGCTAATAAACTTTTTTTTTATTTCGCATAGTTCGCAGCAAAATTCTCTATTCGAAATGAAATTGTTTCCATTCGAATGAGAGTCGGGGTTTATGTAGAAAAAAAATGTTTAGAAAGTGTTCACAAAATTAAACGATCAAAGTTGAGAATATAATGAAGGTAATTTCTCATGAAATATTTGAAGGATTCAGATTTTTGATAAAGTTAAACATGAGAAATGGCATTATTCTTAACAAATTTTCTAATCCATGAATGGATGGTGTTGAGGCAAGATAGTGAAACTTATACATAACCCCATGTATTTTAACGATTTTAATTTGTGGTTATGTTCTTCCGTTGTGTGCCTAAATAATAAACATTTGAACCTTTTCGGTGAAGTTTTATTTAACATTATCTTAACTTGCAATATTCGCCAATCTTTTAAAATTCAATGTGTTTGGGTTTTGTGCATTGGCTATGCCGTCAATCGGTGTTTGTCTCTCACCAAGATTGCTAAATTTCTGAACACAAAATTCGTGTCTCAAAGTGAGAAAGTACTTACTGAGAGAATGAACTTTTGGTTTATAATGTGGTAATCGTTGTATGCGGTTTTTTGATACAAACCACATTCCCAGGCAATCATATTCCGCATGACAAAAGCAATTTCATTGTTTAATGTACGTAATGTTGGCATGACTTATCAAAACTTTGTCCTTTTTTCATAAGCCTTTCCAACGAAATGCCAGCAGTTTTCTTTTCGTTCACTTGAATTCTATTCAGTGTTTGCCGTTCTGTTTCTCTCTTAGTTTGATTCTTCTCTTTTGCACGGTCGTTTTCTCATTTTCTCTCCGGTCTCTCATTTTCGCTTGGTCTTTTGACATTGCCTGAACATCGTTGCATCGTTTGAGACTTGCAATGCAAAGGCCGAAAATGAAATGGTTTAAAATTAGAATGACTTAAAGTCACCATCCGACATGCATGCACACTACACGACATATTTTGTTTTCAGTTTCAGATGCCATCATGAGCTACCACACAAAAGACTGTCACAATGCTGACGATGAGATGTAAATGTGTACACTATTGTGTTTGTGTTGAAAAAGATGCCGACTGCCGACTGCAGTAGCATCATTGCAAAATCAACGGTTGAATTGTCTTGTGTGTCGCAAGCGCGCGCTTTTGCAAACAACCAAAGATGGAAAATTCATATTTCCATAATGACCTAATTAATTCACTTCTCTTCTGCTTCTTCTTCTTCATCATCTTGAAGAGATATTTAATTGTTGTCATCAAAACTTAAAAGCAACTTCTTAATTGAACAAAATGCTCAAGTTGAATGGTTGCTGCTGCGATGGGATATTATGTTTTTCCATTTTCATTGGAATAAATTGAAATTAGGATTGCAATACATGTGTAAATTACGGTAGAAATGGCCATGTTATGCGAATAATAAAATCATTTCACTTGACGATTTGTGATACGATGCTGAACAACAATGCATTTTGATAAAAAAAGAAAGATTCCACTCAAAAAATACAAAAGCTTTTACTCAAAATGCTTCCACATAGCACTAAACGTTCATACAATGAATATTTTCCAGCTTTTTCCCATAATGTTGATGCTAAAGAATACCATTTTCACTCAGTCTCATTCCATCGAAAGCACACTCCTTGAGAGTGAGCAGATTGAATGAGCGCCTTGTCTAATAGAGTCAATCGTGCAATGTGCACACATTGTTTATGTTTCTCTATCCATATTTTTCGACTGTTGAATCCGTCGCACAACTCGATTTCATGTACGTGCTCTCTCGCTCATGCTTGAGTTGTGTATGAAGTACTCGGATGCGTTCGGGAATGCCTGTAAAGTTGAATGAAATGCGTTCGCATTTATACACAATATAGCATCTAGAGAGTAAAGAGCAGCTGTTGTATTTGAGCGACGATAAGGGTAATGTGTCGGCACTTCGCAAACAAGCGTTTCAGTTACAAACTGAATTGGTATCGATGCAGTTTGGTTTAGTGACGAGCTCGCTCCTTCTTTGCTATGCTCGTTTAGGAATTTACGCTATGGATAAATAACGTTCGAGTCTGTGTTGTATGCGTACTTCTCGATCTTATGTTATCTCTAAATGCTCTATCATACTGAAACTAACAAATCAAACATTTCAATTGTGATTAAAATTGTTTTTTGAAAAACTTGAAAAATACGTGAATAAAATGTGTGTCAATGAGAATCAGACAAAATCAGCGAAAAATTATGAGAAAAAAATAAAATGAAAAAAACATGATCGATTTTAAGAAGAAGCAAAAAATCTAAATAAATCCTTTAAATTCCAACAAAAATAAACATTGACATTTGCTGCAGGAAAAATGCCAATTTTAAACATTTTTGGTGTCTGATAAATGAGAAGTGACTGTTATTGGGTGATTTTTTTTTCATTGTGCACTCTTAAATCTGTGTCAAGATCTATTTTTATGAATCGAATTGAAGTCTAATTAAATGTGAAACGCGCTCAAAATCAACTTGAATTTTTATCAACACAACAAAAAAGAGGTATTTTGTTTATTCGTTTTGTTCTTTTCAATTTGATAATTTCTAATTGAAAATGTGTGATATATAGAGTTTTTGTTGAATACTTCGAATAACCGCGATCGCTCAGTGATTTTGTGTTTATTGGCAATGTCTTTGTGCAAAAGAGGTTTGGTCATGGCAAATGCCAACCGCACGGAAAAGGATATCGTTTTATTTTAAATGCTTCCGTTGAACAATTAAACTTTTTCCCAAAGTATTTTTATTCAATGAATTTGACGGTGCATTCTTCGTGCATATCTCTGTCTATCTATTCGGGTATTATTACCTCCACGGTGTGCAAACAAACCAAAATGAAGAAACCGATACAACAGCCAAGATTTCCGACGAACGAAAATACTGAAAGCGACTGAGTGCACGGTGCGAGAAATGTGTGTTTGCGCGCATTCTACTGCAACTTTGAACATCGCATCGAAAATAGCATTGGTTTGGAAAAACTTTTCGCATATAATTCATGTCTTTTTATTTTCTTTCTTTCCGTTTCTCGTTGTTCATTCCAGTTTCTCTCTCTTTTTCTATTTCATCTCGTCGGTGTGTGTGTGTGTCTCTCAAGTGTGAACGAGAACGAGCTAGCCGTGTGCATCGGCTTCGTTTCACTCTTCATTTTTCATTTTGGTCGATAAAAGAATTTCAATTCTTCTGTTCATTCCGGTGTGTCTCAGATGGCTCTTGCTCTTCTTGTTCTTGGTGTCGATATAATAAATGTATGCTTTAGTGTTTTCGCTAGCATAGTTTTTGTGTGAATTTGTATATGTGTGTGTGAATGAGATTATCAGATTCAGAGATATCGTTTCGTTTCGTTCATTTGGTGCGCCCGATTACATTGCACGCGTGCATTCTCGCTACAACATTTTATCTATCTAGTTGGGTTTTTTTCTCACAATCTCGTATGTCAAAACTTCTTCGAATGCAATTTTCGCTTTCACTATGCACGCGCAGAGAGATATAGTTCGACAATAGTCTGTCTATTATCCGTTTATTTGTTTTTCCTTTCGTTGTTTTTTGGGGGGTAAATAATTTGTTTCGTATTTTTTTTTATCCGTTTTCGTCGTGTACTTCATCACACTTAAAAAGAGTGAACATATTGCTAGTGAGAGGGAAAGCGAACGACGACAATCCTAATCTTCTTCTTT